TTTTGTACATCCACATCTGAATCGCCTATAAACCATACACTACGTTGTACGTTGTACAAACTCCGTTCCTGGTATACCTTATGTATTTAATACACCGTTCCTGGTATACTGATACAGTCTAACGCGCTGTGTGTAATTAGAATTATTAGATCACTTACATATATCATACTGTATTTATTCATTTATTGTATTGCATTATACGTATAACTGTGTTTAAAAGTAAAATTGAATCAAGAACGCAAACGTTTTTAGGTAACAATCAGCACAACAATATTTTGTTCGCTGATAGCATTCTTGATTTAAATCGGACGGACATACACATGATGCCGAGTAATTTTATTAATGTTAGAAACCAATAAATCATTAAATCACTAGTAATCTTTGAAAATATAGGCAAAACTACGTACATTTATAAGTTAACAGAGATGATGCTAAAATTTCTGGTTTTATCGACTTATATACAGGTTATGTTATTATTACTTTCTTCATTCTCTTTATATTTAGCAATACTATCATTTAATCCAGATAAATTAATAACTCTGCTTGTAAAATATGCCTCTGAATGTTGTATAGTTGATTGAACCTTTAAATCAGAAATTTCTTGAAGTTTCTTATCAGCATTTCGAAATTGTATGATAGCTTGCTTAATTTTGTCATCTCTTATATCTTCAATATTCTTATCATAATTTTCCCAACAATTGTATATAGTGTTCAGTAATTCAGTAGCTTTTGGACGTTTCGAAGGATCCATATCCCAACATCTTTTAATTAAAGATGCGTAAAATTGCGGTACATGATTAGCAATTTGTGGTCTAAAACCTAAACAAATATCAAAGCCAAGACGTATATCATGTGAAAGATTATTAAATGGTGGCTCGCCAGCCGTAATTTCCCACATAAGCATTCCAAAGCTATAAATATCGGATTTTTCGGTATAAAGTCTTCCTCTTAAAACTTCAGGCGCCATATAAGGAAGTACACCGCATACTTCCTCCCTCTTTAATGAATATTTACGAACTGGTTGAGATAATCCAAGATCACTTACTAAAGAAATGTTCCAATCATCATTTTCATTAAAAGCATTACACATGAGTATATTTCCACTGTGTAAATCTTTATGAACTATTCTTATTCGATGAATTCCAATGAGTCCAAATATAATTGAATTTAAAATAAACAATCGTTTTTTCCAATTCACCCTGTATATTTGATGTAAATTATTTCTTAAACTCCCTCCATGTACATAATTCATCACAATTATATATTCTAAATTTTCGGGATCTCGAGTAATTCCAAGTAGTGGTAATAAAAAATCTGTCATCTTAAAAGCATTTAAGTGATATTTCAACTATAATTACGGTATAATAAGACAAATTCAATTTATTTTGTATAAAATATTAATTCATGTGTATGTTAATTATATTATTTTCCACTTAACTAAATAATAAATAATGAGGATTAACTTACTTCATTTAAGAATTTATCATTAATCTTTGATGAATCGTTGAGCCTTTTTAATGCAACCAAAAGGCCAGTTTTTAAGCTATTACTATTTCGACTTGAAGATTCTTTATATTTCCAATTATCGTCGATTAATCCTATAGCTCGATGCCATTTATTTTTTTCGTGGTCCCATTTTACAATACGTCCATCAGCCCAAATAGCTTTATATATACTACCGAATCCACCTTTAGAAATGTACGTAATTTCTCTCAAGCGATCATATGGAATCCATTCTAGAACTTCAGACATCTTACTAGCGTTAATTTGAGTATTTTGTATAAATCCATCAATTAATCTATTTCCACTTGTCCAACTTGAAAAGTTTTGTTGAAATCTTTTAGCGTTGCAAGATCGACACCAATCTTCATATGTATTTGTTTTATTGCAGTCTGGACAGAGGCCATATTCATCTTTGATGATTTTTGCTGAAAATTAAAAAAATGGTTCGACAAGTTTCGACAAATTTTTGTTATTATTTCGTTGAGCTACTTAAATGTCGACGATTAT